AATACTAGCATTACAAATTGACATTGAACATTACAAATACGTATTAGAATTAATTTAATATTAATATTAATAAATTTTAAATAATTATATACATATATACAAATATTTTAAATAAATTAATAAATATTAATATTAATAAATTAATAATAGAACATTTTTAATATTAAAGTGAAAATATTTGTAATATTTAAAGAATTAATTAAATATATATTAAACAATCTCATTAAATGGTAGATGATCATCATCTTTTACATTTTGGGAATTAGATACTTTCTACTTCTCTCTTCTATTTGTTTAATTATTTTTTTTTTTTTTAATACTAGCATTACAAATTGACATTGAACGTTACAAATACGTATTAGAATTAATTGAATATTAATATTAATAAATTTTAAATAATTATATACGCATACAAATATTTAATAATATTTCTAATAATAGAAAATTTGTAATATTTAAGTGAAAATATTTGTAATATTTGAAGAATTAATTAAATATATATTAAACAATCTTATTAAATGGTAGATGATCATCATCTTTGACATTTTAGGAAATAGTTTTTATTCGTTTTAATGGAAACTTCATATAAATGAAATAAAAAGATCTAAAAGGGGTAAAGAAAACAAAAACAAAAACAAAAACAAAAAGAAGAGAAAAAAGAGAGGGTGAGAAAAAGATTTGATAGTGTTAGTAATTATACCAACTTGATAGTATCGTAACGATCAACTTTTCCCTCTCTCTCTCTCTCTCTCTCTCAAATTATTCTTTCTTTTACTCTTTCGTTCATGAACGATTAATGTAAGTTCATAGCAAGATAAAACCAATTCCCCTTCTTCGTAGAAACGATGTCGTCGATGTTATTATGTAAATTGTTAGTTGGAAGGAAAATTGTCAAGACCTGAAAAGCAATGAAGAGGGGTGGAAGAGAGGGAGGAGAACGATTTTAAACATAGACAACGATCACCACCATCATTCCCCTTACTTTATTTCTTTTCTTTCCTTTTTTTCAAATTTTTTCCTCCAATCGTGTGTTTTTATAAGTGCAGTAAATATATGCACAAAACAAATAAATAGAAAATATATGAGATGTATGTGTGTTATATGATTTATGATTTTTTTTTTTTTTTTTTACTATATATATCACAATGATAATATATTTATTTATTTATTTAATATTTTATTGACCCTATAAAGCTAAAGCTTCCTAAAAGCCATTAATTACAGTGTACTACAATATAATATATAACAAAACAGAAAATTAAAATTATGTAATTATTATTAAACTTATCATAATCATATATATAAATAAATAAATAAATAAACAAGAAAAAAATAGAACTAAAGAGCATAGTAAAAGGGATTGCAGTTTCTCAACACAAAATAGGAAAAAATCTCGTCTTCCTATTCCCACCACCTCTTCACCACTTCACCCCCTGTTCTTTTTATCCCCCTTCCCCTATTCTTTTATCATTCTATTTTCATCTATTATCTACTCTTCGTCCAGTTTCTAATCGGCAATCGGCTGGAGAAAGAAGAACTAGTAATAGTAGTAGTAGTAGTAGTAGCTATGCACTTTCAATATTATTCCCATCGTATGAAAGCAAGCATGGGGAGGAGGAGGAGGAGGAGGAGGAGTTTAGTATCATGGGGGCCGAAGATAAAACAGCTAATGGCGGTGGTATATACACGCTAAGAGTTTATTATATTCCGTACGGATAATCGGTTGTTTATGGGATAGAAAAATGAGATCGGTTCTAGTAGTAGAAAGCAGTTACCGTTAGATCCATTAACGAGAAACTTTGCTATTGAAGAATGTTTTTTTTTTTTTCATTATGGTTGGTTGTTGGATTGAGAAAAAAAAAGAGAGAGAGAGAGAGAGAATAAACAACGAGAAAATAAAATATAATTTTTTATATCGTTTTTTTCTATATTTAATTTTTGTTTTTTAAAGTATAGTATATAATATCTGTAAAATATAATCCATTAAGAATTTTCTATAAATTGTATAAATTTGGACAACAA